AACCCCCACATTCCCTCTGAGATTCCACAGTCTGTTCCATGCTTCCAATCTCTGGATCCTCTCTGTTCATCAGTTTATTTTGTTACTTAGATTCCATATATGAGTGAGATCATGTGATACTTGTCTTTCTCTGACTGGCTTATTTCACTTAGCATAGTACTCTCCAGGTCCCTCCATGCTGTCTCAAAGGGTAAGAGATTCTTACCTTTACTGCTGCGTAGAATTCCATGGTGTAAATGTACCACAGCTTTTTTATCCACTTGTCTACTTATGGGCACTTAGGTGGTTTTCAGATCTTAGCTATTATAAATTGTGCTGCTATGAACATAAGGGTACATACATTCTTTCTGATTGGTGTTTCAGGTTTCTTGGGATATACTCCTAGAAGTGGGATCACTGGGTCAGTTCCATATTTAATTTTTTGAGGAAACTCCATACTGTTTTCTGTAAAGGCTGCACTAGTCTGCATTCCCACCAGCAGTGTATTAGGGTTTACTTTTCTTCACATCCTTGTCAGCACTTGTCATTTATTGATTTGTTGATGGTAGCCATTCTGCCAGATATGAGGTGATACCTCACTGTCATTTTAATTTATATCTCACTGATGATCAGTGACTTTGAGCATTTTTTCATATGTCTCTTGGCCTTCTGTATGCCCCTTTTGGAGAAGTGTCTATTTAGGTTTTTAGCCCATTTTTTAAAATTGGATTGTCATCCTTTTGTTAACTTGTATGAGTTCTTTATATATTTTGGACATTAACCCATTATCAGATGTATCATTGGCAAATATGTTCTCCTATACAGTGGGCTCCCTTTTCATTTTGTTCATGGTTTCTTTTGCTGTGAAGAAGCTTTTTATTTTTATGAAGTCCAATTTGTTTATTTTCTCTTTTGTTTCCCTTGCCCTATGAGATACATCAGCAAAGTGGATAGAGCGACGGCCTGTGGACTGAAGGGTCCTGGATTTGATTCCAGTCAAGGGCACATGCTGGGGTTACGGGCTCCATCCCCGAGCAGGAGGCAGCTGGTCAATGATTCTCTCTCATCATTGATGTTTCTATTTCTCTCTCCCTCTCCCTTCCTCTCTGAAATCAATAAAAAATAAAATAAAAACAAGTAATAAAATTTCACCATTTGCCACCATCTCCAAGTTGATTGAAAGAAACCAGGAAAAGGCAATGAATGAGCTAGTAAGGAATTTTTTAAAAATCTGATTGAGTTACTTTTCATTTAAAATCAGTGATATGTTCCAAATCCACACCAGTAATATTGTACTCACTACTATCAGAGTCACAAACAGGAGATTATTTATTTACATTGATTCCAAAGCATTGATTTCATGTTATTGCTTTATTTACATTTAAGTCCAAAGCAATAACATGAAAGATTAAGAATCTTCCACAAAATATTTTTCCTCTGTAAGTATTTCATTAAGTCCAAATAGTTCAATAAACACTTGCAAAAGTGAAAATGCCTTTCTCTTCTGTATGTACCACAGGGGAGGGCCATGGTCACACTAATTGCAACTGGTTAGTGAAAAGTTAGTAATATTTATAGCAGCAGAATCTCAAAGTCAAAAGCCTAAACTCATCGACCAAGGATATGCAAGGAGTAGTGCTGTCATGAAATGACAGCCCATGCAATCAGAGAAGAGAAAGGCTCAGGGTCACTATTGGGAAGAGCAATTGAAGTTGACATTGGCTGAGGGGAGGGCTGGGGATTACTGCATCCTCAAGCCTTTCCAATTCCACTCCCTGGAGAGGAAGAGAGAGGTAGGGGCTTCCCGGCAGACAGGACACCTCTGCCCTTCCCAGGACCTGGCCCACGCAGGATGCAGTGCAGGCAGCAGCTTTCTGTCCTGCTGTGTCTCTGTGGAGCCTGAATCATGCTGAGCGAGCCCCTGGCAGCTGGGCATCCAGCACAAAGCCTTACAGGCAACGAAGGTTCGCAGGTCTCTCACCACAGGCATCTGCTCACATGTCCGGACCACCCGTGTCACAACCTCACACAGGACTGTGAGGGACTGGGGCTGAATCGTTTAGTTTGAGAGACATTGGAAGGATAGAGAATAAGGACAGTCATGATGCTCATGGCCAAAGCAGTGGAAGGGACTGAGTCAGGAGGACACAAAGTCAGAGGGAAGACTTGATAGACAAAGTGACCTGAGGAGATGGAAGAAAAGGACAGAAGAGAGGTGGTGGGGAGGTGGGGTGTGGTGGGGTGGGGTTGGGCAAAGCAGGGCTGGGGGCCAATGGTGGGAGACAAGGGGCAGAAATGAGATCAAGGACAGAAGGCTGGGTTGTCAGGGGACTGTGGTCGCCATGGAGGAGCTGAAAGTTAGCTTGTTTCCCAGGACAAGACCTGTGGGAGGAGTAGGACAGTGTGGGGCTGGCTCAACCGCCCAGTGATGCTATTGGAATCGTATCCCACCCCCCCCCAGAACTCCAACTCAGCTCTGGGGGGTTGTCTTCTCCTGCTGGTCTCCTCCAAGCCTCAGATGGCGGCCCACCTCCACACATCATGCCTCATTCCCAGGGGGCGAGAGAGGACTGGACCAACCACAGAACTTTCAAGCCTGTACGTCCTCTCTGTGGACAATAGCAGGGACCGACCATGAAGGGCAGCTGATGGGCAGCCCATAAATCTGTGTCCAGGAGTGTTTCCTTCCTGCGCAGACCCTGTTTGTGTGGCAGAGGGAACAGGGCTGCCTCTGGGATTCCTCACTGTAACACATAGAGAGTAACAGTGACTGACCTCGGGGGCTGTGGTGACAGGTAAATGTCGGGCATTTTGGACAATGTCTAACAAAGGAGATAGTTAGTCTTCAACAAAAGATGAGGTGACTATAAAGAAGAGGGGAAGTCTCTGATTCAGTGACTCAATCTATTTTCAAATAATCCTTCAGTCCTCCAGCAGATTCTGCTCATACCATGTGCAGCCTGTTGTTGGGAAGAAGTGGTGACAAGAACCATTAGGGGTCTCAGCAGGTGATCGAGGGTGAGACCCAGGTCAGGGTTGGCCCCTGCTCCTGAACCCCTCCTTCTGCCTTCCCTGTTGAGACTCCCTCCCTGTCCTCTGCCAGCTCCTCCTCTGACCCTGGGTGTTCCTCCTATCTCCTGACCCTGTGCCTCACCTTGCCTCTTCCCAGGACTCCCAGCATGTCCTGTGGTCTGCTGCCCTCATTTCTGTGTCTCCTCCCGCCCCTGCTGCAGGTGTACCAGGGAGAATGCCAGTCCCAGAAGTGACGCCACCATGCCCAAGTGAGCAGGAAGTATTGAGAGGGGCCTCCATTCCCTTTTCTCTAAATTAACCTCTGCCTTTTGGTGCAGACTCACCATGTCTCAGGACCTGGGCGAAATCCCTTTCATCCCCAAGCTTGTCCAGACTGCACCAATTCTCACAGCAGGGAATGACTACTGAGCACCATATTGCTCTGAGGCAAAGTTCTTTTTCCCCTTTTCCCAAGGTTGCAGGTAGACAAGGTTGAGCCCGGATTCATATTCTCCCTTTCTGCCCCTTTTCTCCCTCCATTCTTTCCTCTCTCCAGGCTGCGTTAATTCCCTCCATCTGCTCAGAGTGATATATCTTTCTTTTTGATCCTGTTTCTTCCTCTTTATGCTCCTCTTCCTATTCTTTGCCCTCATGGCTGCCTCTTTCCTTCCCTTCCAGCTTCCCCTTTAACTTGATTACAACTCACTGAGAACATACAAGGCCCAAAGAAATGGAGATATATACCATGTTCATGGATGGAGAGTCTCAGTGCCTCAGAGACGTCTATGCCTGCCAGGATTGCCCTACACATTGATAATAGGGTATCACAGGAAACACGAAAAGTTTGTCCATCACTCAGCTGGTTTGGCTCAGTGGTTGACCATGGACCCATGAACCAGGAGGTTCATGCATGGGCACTTGCCCAGGTTCTGGGATCTTTTCCCAGTAGGGGGTATACAGCCAATGAATGATTCTCTCATCACTGATGTTTTTTTCTCTCTCTCCCCCTTCCTTCCTCTCTGTGAAATTAATTTAAAAAACATATTTTAAGGAAATTTTGCCCATAACTTCATGTAAATGTGTACACGGCCAATACAACTTCAAAGGTGAAGCTAAGGTGGATCGACATACCAGATATTGGACCTACTTTGAAGCCCTGGCAGAGCAGTGTGGTAGTCACTCAGGCATGGACAGGTGAAGCAAAGGAGCATATCACACACACACACACACACACACACACACACACACACACACACAGGTGGTGGCCTTGCACATCAGTAGGACAAAATGACGTGGAAGGAAAGTCATTAAATGTCCTTGCATTGGCTATCTAATACAAAATAAAAAACGACATGCCTATGTCAAGTCATATACATACATGACAAAATGAATACATTTGAGAACATTGAAAATTAAGACATCTATACATGGAAAGACTTCATGAAGCGAGAGCCTAGCCACACATTGAAAGAAAGCATTTGCAATGGAAGTGACAAGGGTCACTGTCTACTAGCTTTCCTAAAGCAAGTGGGACAGGAGCCTACCAGCTGTGTCCTCCCCACGGTGTGAAGGCAGAGGGACCTAAGCAGAGGACCAAGCCCAGAACGAGGAACTCAACGCACATCTGTCCCTGATCCAAGGTCCACACTTTCCCATCATTCAACAGGAGGCAGGGGGAGAGCATGCACTGGGCTCAGGCTTGGGCTGGGTGCAGGGTGGTGTGGGGAGGGCTCCAGCCTGGCCCTCCCAGGGGAGCAGGGCCTTTCCCATCTCCTCTCTCTGCCATCATCACTTTCACTTTCCCTTTACAAGAGGCCTGGGTCCTGCTGCACAGAGGAGCCTGTCTCCAGCAGAAGTCAGCTCTGTCCAGAGGGAGGGCCCCAGAGGAGGAGGGAAGGTGGGTCTGAGGTTGAGGAAGATCACAGCCCAGGGCCTGCCCACCTGCACCCCCACTCCCCCCGACCCCCACTCCCCACCGCTGCCAAAGCAGGAAGAAGGTGGGGCCTCAGCTGAGAAGGTGGGAAATCCTCCATCAAGGGACTTTCCTAAAACCTGGGCCTGTGAGCAGAAATGAAGCGCCAGCGCTGGAGACCAAGGATGAGGCAGAGGCCACACGTCACTCCGGTGCCCTGGCCCAGGTACTGCCCCCACTCTGTCCTTCTCTGTAGCCCTTTCTACTTGGGGGCCCTGAGGTGTCTCTGCCCTCAGACTTGTCCTCCCCCTGGTCTAGCCTGGCTTCTCTCCCGATCTGGGCACCATCTCTGCAGGTTCCACTCCAGCGGGAGCTTTCCCTTCTTCTGGGGATGTCTCCACAATTGCTTCTGAATGGCCCCTTTGCCCCTTGTACAGGACTGTTGTCCACTTGGTCCTCCTCACAGTCTGCCAGTTATGGGGCTGGCTGTCCCCTCTCTGCCCGTGGGGCTGCTGCTCTGTGGCCTTTCCTGCGCCCTCTTGCCCATTAGAATTGCACTAAAGTAGTGATGGCGAACCTTTGAGCTCGGCATGTCAGCATTTTGAAAAACCCTAAATTAACTCTGGTGCCGTGTCACATATAGATATTTTTTGATATTTGCAACCATAGTAAAACAAAGATGTATATTTTTGATATTTATTTTATGTATTTAAATGCCATTTAACAAAGAAAAATCAACCAAAAAAGGTGTTTGCGTGTCACTTCTGACACGGGTGTCATAGGTTCGCCATCACTGCACTAAAGGATGAGTGGAGCACTCGGGGCATTTGGTTTGAAGCACTTGGATTCAATTTCTGTGCTACTGACCCCGTTATCCACTCAGAGTGAGAGGAGTTCGCTGAGCAGGAAAGGAAATCCTCTCTCCCAAGGTGCCAGCACTGTGAGCTGAAGAGCAAAGTCAGACTGTCCCCAGAGGCATCCCTGCCCTTGCGTTTATAGTGCACCCACTGGTGGGGGAAATGCTGTTTACAATGAGGGAGAAAAGAGCCTCTCAGCCAATAGGGCCACCGCTGCCAGCTGACGTCATGCAAGGGCTAGACATGGCTTTGCCTGGGCAAGGGACCAGCTCTGTCACTTAGCAGCCCTGTGACTTGGGCAGGCTACTCCCTTCTCTGTGCCCCGATTCCTCCTCTGTAAAATAGGGTGAGGACCCTGGATCTGGGAGGAATAGAGGAGTTCAGATACAAGGAGCTCTTAGAACAGTAGCCAGAGCCTGTGAATTTAGCTGTTAGCCTGACATTAAATAATAATAATAAACATGCATAGGTGAAAGGTCAATCATGAATTGCACCTTAATATGAAAATGTAATGTTTGGGGGTGGAGGCAGTTTTATTACTCATTTCTGTATTCAAATGATTGGGGTTGGGGGGTTGGGCATGTGTTGTTGGAAGCAGCAGAGCCAGACCTTAAGGGAGAGGTCAGGAGCCCCTGCTGTTCCTGCAGCCCCTGCCCTCCTGCTCTCCCCCAGGTTCCTGCCTGGAGGCGGCAGGAAATGCTGAAGGGAAGGGGTTGCTGGGAGGCAGGGCGCCCAGGCCACCAGATGGGAGAAACTCAAGGGAACCCTGCATTTTCTCTTTTCTCTCCTGCCCCCAGGAACCCAGTGAGAAGGTTTAGTCCTGAGTATTTCTACTTTCACTTTACAAACTGCCCTGACCATGGAGGTCGCAATGGCTGCTATCTCTGCTACCAAGTGAAAGGAACACAGAGGGGCTTTCCCTTGGACGTGGGCACCGGGGTTTTTGAAAATGAGGTATGTGCCCCACGATATGTCATCAGAGGCAGGAGCTAAGCCAGGGAAGGATGTGGGGAAATGATAATATGTAAAATGCCACATATGTAAAATTACAACAACATTGTCCTAAGGTTTAGCCCTGGATGTCACTGCCTGACCATCCTGAAATGCCAGGTACACCTGGGCGAGGATGGCAGCCTCAGCATACACAGAGCAAGCCCCCGCCCTGCAGCCAAACACTAAGGTCTCCTGTGAAGTGTCCACCACACACCAGCCCTCTCTTCCCCACCTGGACTGCAGACTACTCAGAGCCCTTATGGGGTGGACGGGGTGTCACCATGGCAGTCCTACCCGTGGGAGCACGATTGGGGTCACTTGTGTCATTTAACCTTTTCTAGTACCCACTGGTCAAACTTTCAGAGAAATCAATTAATTTAATGTTGATAATGTACTTTGGAATACGTCGAAGATATTGTTTCAACATATCGTTAATATAAAAGTTCTTCATGAGATAGTTTACATTCTTCTTTCATACCACATCATGGAGATAAGGAGTGTATTCAGTAATTGTCACACACATCAGTGCCGGCGAGCCACATTTCAAGAGCACAGTAGACACCTGTGCTAGTGGCTGGCTGTGGGCAGCACTGCTCTGGGCCCTCCCCTGCAGACAGCACCCAGAAACAAGCCTGGACCCAGCAGCCGGGCCTGGAGCAGGCACCCGGAATGCTCATAGAATGAAAGAATGGGAGGGTGGATGTTGGAGTTCATGGATGAGGGTGGGAAGGGATGACTAAGCTAAAACAGCCTGGAGGGGAGACGTTTAAAAAGGAATCAGTCAATAACATGCTTCTGAGACTCTGGCTCCCTGTCCCCTGGTCCCGACTCCTCCAGCCCTGCAACATGCCTGAACTGCCATCCCAGAGGATCTCTTTCCCCTCTCCGTCTCTCCCAGTTCTATCCCAAGAAGCCCAAGCACACAGAAATCTGCTTCTTGAACTGGTTCAAGACCCAGCAAGCATTCTTGGCCCAGAACCTGTCCCACGAGGAGAAATACCATGTCACATGGTTCATGTCCTGGAGCCCCTGCTTCCAATGTGCGAGGCATGTGGTCGAGTTCCTCAAGGACCACAAGTATGTGCAGCTGAGCATCTTCGTTGCCCGCCTCTACTACCCCAGGAGGCCCCAGTACCAGCAGGGGCTGCGCAGCCTGCAAGGTGCAGGGGCCCAGGTGGCAATAATGACTCCAGATGGTGAGAGCAGAGGGCGCCGGGGCAGGGATGGGAGGGGGTGGGGGTCTAGGACCAGGCAGGAAGGACCTAGAATCCCCAGAAAGGAAGAAGAAGACCCCTTAGCTGCCTGTGGAGGTGGTGTGGGGTCGGGGAGTCTCCTGGAGGAGAAGTTCAGGGGAGAAAGGTGGTCCAGGCTGGGGAGGGAGGTGAAGGACACCTGCAAGAAGGAGGCTTCCAGAAGGGGGCGTGGAGGAGGGGCTCAGATTCACAGGAAGAAAGGGGACTGAAGTGACAATGAAGTCCCGGGAAGGAAAGAGAAGAGGGTCTGAAATCATGATGGGAAGAGCGGTCCCTAAGAGTCACACACTGTGTGTCCCCTCAAGGCTCCTGGAGCTGAAGCGCACCATGGTCTCCCCTGTTCCTTTCAGACTTTGCCTACTGCAGGAATATCTTTGTGGATGACCCCCATAAACCATTCCGGTACTGGAAAGGAATATATATAAACAGCTGCAGCCTATCTAAGACTTTGGAGGACATTCTCAGGGTGAGGTTCCTCCCTCTGAATCTCCCCCTACCCACCACCCTCACCCCCCTCGTCTCCTCCCCTTGGGCCTTTCTCTCCCTCTGGGTCACCTGTTCCCTCCTGGGCCCCAGGTCCCTCCCTCCCCTCAGGTCTCACAAGTCCCTCTGCTTTCTCCCTCCTGCGCCCCTTTTCCTTCCCCCGCTTTGTGACTGCCCCAGACTCTGCTCTGTTCACCTTCTCACCCGCCTCACTCCCTGCTTCCTCCACCTTCTCCTTCTCGATCCAGAATCAGGGAAACTGAAGGAAGAACTTCCATCTCTCTAAACAAGTGAGGAGACTTCTGGTGAACGAGGAATAAAACACTTTCTTTAAGAAGTGAAAACGGCCCTAGCTGGCTTGGCTTAGTGGATAGACCTTTGGCCTGTGGACTGAAGGGTCCCGGATTCAATTCCAGTCAAGGACACATGCTGGGGTTGCAGGCTCCATCCCTGAGCAGGAGGCAGCCGGTCAATGATTCTCTCTCATCATTGATGTTTCTGTCTCTCTCTCCCTCTCCCTTCCTCTCTGAAATCAATAAAAAAATAAAATAAAATAAAAACAAGTAATAAAAACTCACCATTTGCCACCATCTCCAAGTTGATTGAAAGAAACTAGGAAAAGGCAATGAATGAGCTCATAAAGAATTTTTTAAAAATCTGATTGGTTTACTTTTCATTTAAAATTAGTGATATGTTCCAAATCCACACCAGTACTATTGTACTCATTACTATCAGAGTCACAAATAGGAGATTATTTATTTACATTGATTTTAAGTCCAAAGCAATAACATGAAAGATTAAGAATCTTCCACAAAATGGTTTTTTTTCTGTAAGTATTTCATGAAGTTCAAATAATTCAATACGCACTTGCAAAAGTGAAAATGCCTTTCTCTTTTGTATGTACCTTAGGGGAGGGCAGTGGTCACACTAATTGCAACTGGTTAGGGAAAGTTAGTAATATTTATAGCAGCAGAATCTCAAAGTCAAAAGCCTAAACTCATCCACCAAGGATATGCCGAGAATAGTGCTGTGCCGGAAGCAGGTCCATCATTGCTGCTTGACACAGTCGCTGCAGGGAAGAAACACCTGCACAGCATATGTTTCAAGGTACCTGGCGTATATGGCATACTGTTCTTAATATGTTTGCTCCCCTTCTTATCACTATGTGTTTTAACTAAGGTCACCTCTCTGAGAAAGATTGTTTCCCCAAATGGGGATTTTTCCCTGGAGTTAGGGATTAACAGGACTAAGGAAGGGAATAAATCAGTAAAACCCCTTAACTAAGTGCCTGGCGGGTAGTTAATCACCTTAACTATGAACAATCACGCTTAAGCTACATAATCTTTACTTAGGATAATCTCCTTCAGTTACTTCCTTGTAGCTTAACAGAACAGTAGAGTATTGACCTTTGAATGGAGATAACAAACGCCCTAACCTTTGGAATAGAATGGATAGGATTAAAATCAAATGATATAAATAAAGATGTAACAGGAGAATAAAGAGAGTACCTGGCTAGAACCTGGCTAGAGAACCTGGCTAGGCTGTTGATCAATTGAACGCTGTCCCCATGTTATTCCCTCTTCGCCGACTCCGTCCACACCTTTGGAACCCCTGGAACTGTTGGAGTTGGACCCCAACAGTGCTGTCATGAAATGACAGCCCATGCAATAAGAGAAGAAAAAGGCTCAGGGTCACTATTGGGAAGAGCAATTGAAGTTGACATTGGCTGAGGGGAAGGCTGGGGATTACTGCATCCTCAGGCCTTTCCAATTCCACTCCCTGAAGAGGAAGCTAGAGGGAGGGGTTTCCCTGCAGACAGGATCCCTCTGCCCTTCCCAGGACCTGGCCCAGGCAGGATGCAGTGCAGGCAGCAGCTTTCTGTCCTGCCATGTCTCTGAAGCCTGAATCATGCTGAGCGAGCCCCTGGCAGCTGGGAATCCGGCACAAGGCCTTACAGGCAACGAAGGCCCAGGTCTCTCACCACAGGCATCTGCTCACATGTCCGGACCACCGGTGTCACAACCTCACACAGGACTGTGAGGGACTGGGACTGAATCCTTTAGTTTGAGAGACATTGGAGGGATAGAGAATAAGGACAGTCATGATGCTCATGGCCAAAGCAGTAGGAAGAGACTGAGTCAGGAGGACACAGAGTCAGAGGGAAGACTTGATAGACAAAGTGACCTGAGGAGATGGAAGAAAAGGACAGGAGAGGGGTGGTGGGGTAGTAGGGTGGGGTTGGGCAAAGCGGGGCTGGGGGCCAATGGTGGGAGACAAGGGGCAGAAATGAGATCAAGGACAGAAGGCTGGGTTGTCAGGGGACTGTGGTCGCCATGGAAGAGCTGAAAGTCAGCTTGTTTCCCAGGACAAGACCTGTGGGAGGAGTAGGACAGTGTGGGCCTGGCTCAGCTGCTCAGTGATGCTACTGGAATCAGGCCCCAACTCTCACACACACCCCCAACTCAGCTCTGGGGGGTTGTCTTCTCCTGCTGGTCCCCTCCAAGCCTCAGATGGTGGCCCACCTCCACACATCATGCCTCATTCCCAGGGGCCGAGAGAGGACTGGACCAACCACAGAACTTTCAAGCCTGTACATCCTTTCCATGGACAATAGCAGGGACCGACCACGAAGGGCAGCTGATGGGCAGCCCATAAATCTGTTTCCAGGAGTGTTTCCTTCCTGCGGAGACCCTGTGTGTGTGGCAGAGGGAACAGGGCTGCCTCTGGGATTCCTCACTGTAACACATACAGAGTAACAGTGACTGACCTCAGAGGCTGTGGTGACAGGTAAATGTCGGGCATTTGGGACAATGTCTAACAAAGGAGATAGTTAGTCTTCAACAAAAGATGAGGTGACTATAAAGAAGACGGGAAGTCTCTGATTCAGTGACTCAATCTATTTTCAAATAATCCTTCAGTCCTCCAGCAGATTCTGCTCATACCATGTGCAGCCTGTTGTTGGGAAGAAGTGGTGACAAGAACCATTAGGGGTCTCAGCAGGTGATCGAGGGTGAGACCCAGGTCAGGGTTGGCCCCTGCTCCTGAACCCCTCCTTCTGCCTTCCCTGTTGAGACTCCCTCCCTGTCCTCTGCCAGCTCCTCCTCTGACCCTGGGTGTTCCTCCTATCTCCTGACCCTGTGCCTCACCTTGCCTCTTCCCAGGACTCCCAGCATGTCCTGTGCGCTGCTGCCCTCATTTCTGTGTATCCTCCCGCCCCTGCTGCAGGTGTACCAGGGAGAATGCCAGTCCCAGAAGTGACGCCACCATGCCCAAGTGAGCAGGAAGTATTGAGAGGGGCCTCCATTCCCTTTTCTCTAAATTAACCTCTGCCTTTTGGTGCAGACTCACCATGTCTCAGGACCTGGGCGAAATCCCTTTCATCCCCAAGCTTGTCCAGACTGCACCAATTCTCACAGCAGGGAATGACTACTGAGCACCATATTGCTCTGAGGCAAAGTTGTTTTTCCCCTTTTCCCAAGGTTGCAGGTAGACAAGGTTGAGCCCGGATTCATATTCTCCCTTTCTGCCCCTTTTCTCCCTCCATTCTTTCCTCTCTCCAGGCTGCGTTAATTCCCTCCATCTGCTCAGAGTGATATATCTTTCTTTTTGATCCTGTTTCTTCCTCTTTATGCTCCTCTTCCTCTTCTTTGCCCTCATGGCTGCCTCTTTCCTTCCCTTCCAGCTTCCCCTTTAACTTGATTACAACTCACTGAGAACATACAAGGCCCAAAGAAATGGAGATATATACCATGTTCATGGATGGAGAGTCTCAGTGCCTCAGAGACGTCTATGCCTGCCAGGATTGCCCTACACATTGATAATAGGGTATCACAGGAAAGACGAAAAGTTTGTCCATCACTCAGCTGGTTTGGCTCAGTGGTTGACCATGGACCCATGAACCAGGAGGTTCATGCATGGGCACTTGCCCAGGTTCTGGGATCTTTTCCCAGTAGGGGGTATACAGCCAATGAATGATTCTCTCATCACTGATGTTTTTTTCTCTCTCTCCCCCTTCCTTCCTCTCTGTGAAATTAATTTAAAAAACATATTTTAAGGAAATTTTGCCCATAACTTCATGTAAATGTGTACACGGCCAATACAACTTCAAAGGTGAAGCTAAGGTGGATCGACATACCAGATATTGGACCTACTTTGAAGCCCTGGCAGAGCAGTGTGGTAGTCACTCAGGCATGGACAGGTGAAGCAAAGGAGCATATGACACACACACACACACACACACACACACACACACACACAGGTGGTGGCCTTGCACATCAGTAGGACAAAATGACGTGGAAGGAAAGTCATTAAATGTCCTTGCATTGGCTATCTAATACAAAATAAAAAACGACATGCCTATGTCAAGTCATATACATACATGACAAAATGAATACATTTGAGAACATTGAAAATTAAGACATCTATACATGGAAAGACTTCATGAAGCGAGAGCCTAGCCACACATTGAAAGAAAGCATTTGCAATGGAAGTGACAAGGGTCACTGTCTACTAGCTTTCCTAAAGCAAGTGGGACAGGAGCCTACCAGCTGTGTCCTCCCCACCCTGTGAAGGCAGAGGGACCTAAGCAGAGGACCAAGCCCAGAACGAGGAACTCAACGCACATCTGTCCCTGATCCAAGGTCCACACTTTCCCATCATTCAACAGGAGGCAGGGGGAGAGCATGCACTGGGCTCAGGCTTGGGCTGGGTGCAGGGTGGTGTGGGGAGGGCTCCAGCCTGGCCCTCCCAGGGGAGCAGGGCCTGTCCCATCTCCTCTCTCTGCCATCATCACTTTCACTTTCCCTTTACAAGAGGCCTGGGTCCTGCTGCACAGAGGAGCCTGTCTCCAGCAGAAGTCAGCTCTGTCCAGAGGGAGGGCCCCAGAGGAGGAGGGAAGGTGGGTCTGAGGTTGAGGAAGATCACAGCCCAGGGCCTGCCCACCTGCACCCCCACTCCCCCCGACCCCCACTCCCCACCGCTGCCAAAGCAGGAAGAAGGTGGGGCCTCAGCTGAGAAGGTGGGAAATCCTCCATCAAGGGACTTTCCTAAAATCTGGGCCTGTGAGCAGAAATGAAGCGCCAGCGCTGGAGACCAAGGACGAGGCAGAGGCCACACGTCACTCCGGTGCCCTGGCCCAGGTACTGCCCCCACTCTGTCCTTCTCTGTAGCCCTTTCTACTTGGGGGCCCTGAGGTGTCTCTGTCCTCAGACTTGTCCTCCCCCTGGTCTAGCCTGGCTTCTCTCCCGATCTGGGCGCCATCTCTGCAGGTTCCACTCCAGCGGGAGCTTTCCCTTCTTCTGGGGATGTCTCCACAATTGCTTCTGAATGGCCCCTTTGCCCCTTGTACAGGCCTGTTGTCCACTTGGTCCTCCTCACAGTCTGCCAGTTATGGGGCTGGCTGTCCCCTCTCTGCCCGTGGGGCTGCTGCTCTGTGGCCTTTCCTGCGCCCTCTTGCCCATTAGAATTGCACTAAAGTAGTGATGGGGAACCTTTGAGCTCGGCATGTCAGCATTTTGAAAAACCCTAAATTAACTCTGGTGCCGTGTCACATATAGATATTTTTTGATATTTGCAACCATAGTAAAACAAAGATGTATATTTTTGATATTTATTTTATGTATTTAAATGCCATTTAACAAAGAAAAATCAACCAAAAAAGGTGTTTGCGTGTCACTTCTGACACGGGTGTCATAGGTTCACCATCACTGCACTAAAGGATGAGTGGAGCACTCGGGGCATTTGGTTTGAAGCACTTGGATTCAATTTCTGTGCTACTGACCCCGTTATCCACTCAGAGTGAGAGGAGTTCGCTGAGCAGGAAAGGAAATCCTCTCTCCCAAGGTGCCAGCACTGTGAGCTGAAGAGCAAAGTCAGACTGTCCCCAGAGGCATCCCTGCCCTTGCGTTTATAGTGCACCCACTGGTGGGGGAAATGCTGTTTACAATGAGGGAGAAAAGAGCCTCTCAGCCAATAGGGCCACCGCTGCCAGCTGACGTCATCCAAGGGGTGGACATGGCTTTGCCTGGGCAAGGGACCAGCTCTGTCACTTAGCAGCCCTGTGACTTGGGCAGGCTACTCACCTCTCTGTGCCCCGATTCCTCCTCTGTAAAATAGGGTGAGGACCCTGGATCTGGGAGGAATAGAGGAGTTCAGATACAAGGAGCTCTTAGAACAGTAGCCAGAGCCTGTGAATTTAGGTGTTAGCCTGACATTAAATAATAATAATAAACATGCATAGGTGAAAGGTCAATCATGAATTGCACCTTAATATGAAAATGTAATGTTTGGGGGTGGAGGCAGTTTTATTACTCATTTCTGTATTCAAATGATTGGGGTGGGGGGTTGGGCATGTGTTGTTGGAAGCAGCAGAGCCAGACCTTAAGGGAGAGGCCAGGAGCCCCTGCTGTTCCTGCAGCCCCTGCCCTCCTGCTCTCCCCCAGGTTCCTGCCTGGAGGCGGCAGGAAATGCTGAAGGGAAGGGGTTGCTGGGAGGCAGGGCGCCCAGGCCACCAGATGGGAGAAACTCAAGGGAACCCTGCATTTTCTCTTTTCTCTCCTGCCCCCAGGAACCCAGTGAGAAGGTTTAGTCCTGAGTATTTCTACTTTCACTTTACAAACTGCCCTGACCATGGAGGTCGCAATGGCTGCTATCTCTGCTACCAAGTGAAAGGAACACAGAGGCGATTTCCATTGGACATGGGCACCGGGGTTTTTGAAAAAGAGGTATGTGCCCCACGATGATGTCATCAGAGGCAGGAGCTAAGCCAGGGAAGGATGTGGGGAAATGATAATATGTAAAATGCACAGAGGCTTCTTACAACAACATTGTCCTAAGGTTTAGCCCTGGATGTCACTGCCTGACCATCCTGAAATGCCAGGTACACCTGGGCGAGGATGGCAGCCTCAGCATACACAGAGCAAGCCCCCGCCCTGCAGCCAAACACTAAGGTCTCCTGTGAAGTGTCCACCACACACCAGCCCTCTCTTCCCCACCTGGACTGCAGACTACTCAGAGCCCTTATGGGGTGGACGGGGTGTCACCATGGCAGTCCTACCCGTGGGAGCACGATTGGGGTCACTTGTGTCATTTAACCTTTTCTAGTACCCACTGGTCAAACTTTCAGAGAAATCAATTAATTTAATTTTGATAATGTACTTTGGAATATGTCGAAGATATTGTTTCAACATATCGTTAATATAAAAGTTCTTCATGAGATAGTTTACATTCTTCTTTCATACCACATCATGGAGATAAGGAGTGTATTCAGTAATTGTCACACACATCAGTGCCGGCGAGCCACATTTCAAGTAGCACAGTAGACACCTGTGCTAGTGGCTGGCTGTGGGCAGCACTGCTCTGGGCCCTCCCCGGCAGACAGCACCCAGAAACAAGCCTGGACCCAGCAGCCGGGCCTGGAGCAGGCACCCGGAATGCTCATAGAATGAAAGAATGGGAGGGTGGATGTTGGAGTTCATGGATGAGGGTGGGAAGGGATGACTAAGCTAAAACAGCCTGGAGGGGAGACGTTTAAAAAGGAATCAGTCAATAACATGCTTCTGAGACTCTGGCTCCCTGTCCCCTGGTCCCGACTCCTCCAGCCCTGCAACATGCCTGAACTGCCATCCCTAGAGGATCTCTTTCCCCTCTCCGTCTCTCCCAGTTCTATCCCAAGAAGCCCAAGCACACAGAAATCTGCTTCTTGAACTGGTTCAAGACCCAGCAAGCATTCTTGGCCCAGAACCTGTCCCACGAGGAGAAATACCATGTCACATGGTACATGTCCTGGAGCCCCTGCTTCCAATGTGCGAGGCATGTGGTCGAGTTCCTCAAGGACCACAAGTATGTGCAGCTGAGCATCTTCGTTGCCCGCCTCTACTACCCCAGGAGGCCCCAGTACCAGCAGGGGCTGCGCAGCCTGCAAGGTGCAGGGGCCCAGGTGGCAATAATGACTCCAGATGGTGAGAGCAGAGGGCGCCGGGGCAGGGATGGGAGGGGGTTGGGGGTACTAGGACCTAGGCAGGAAGGAGCCTAGAATCCCCAGAAAGGAAGAAGAAGACCCCTTAGCTGCCTGTGGAGGTGGTGCTGGGGTCGGGGAGTCTCCTGGAGGAGAAGTTCAGGGGAGAAAGGTGGTCCAGGCTGGGGAGGGAGGTGAAGGACACCTGCAAGAAGGAGGCTTCCAGAAGGGGGCGTGGAGGAGGGGCTCAGATTCACAGGAAGAAAGGGGACTGAAGTGACAATGAAGTCCCGGGAAGGAAAGAGAAGAGGGTCTGAAATCATGATGGGAAGAGCGGTCCCTAAGAGTCACACACTGTGTGTCCCCTCAAGGCTCTGGAGCTGAAGCGCACCATGGTCTCCCCTGTTCCTTTCAGACTTTGCCTACTGCAGGAAGATCTTTGTGGATGACCCCCATAAACCATTCCGGTACTGGAAAGGAATATATATAAACAGCTGCAGCCTATCTAAGACTTTGGAGGACATTCTCAGGGTGAGGTTCCTCCCTCTGAATCTCCCCCTACCCACCACCCTCACCCCCTCGTCTCCTCCCCTTGGGCCTTTCTCTCCCTCTGGGTCACCTGTTCCCTCCTGGGCCCCAGGTCCCTCCCTCCCCTCAGGTCTCACAAGTCCCTCTGCTTTCTCCCTCCTGCGCCCCTTTTCCTTCCCCCGCTTTGTGACTGCCCCAGACTCTGCTCTGTTCACCTTCTCACCCGCCTCACTCCCTGCTTCCTCCACCTTCTCCTTCTCGATCCAGAATCAGGGAAACTGAAGGACGACTTCCATCTCTCTAAACAAGTGAGGAGACTTCTGGTGAACGAGGAATAAAACACTTTCTTTAAGAAGTGAAAACGGCCCTAGCTGGCTTGGCTTAGTGGATAGACCTTTGGCCTGTGGACTGAAGGGTCCCGGATTCAATTCCAGTCAAGGACACATGCTGGGGTTGCAGGCTCCATCCCTGAGCAGGAGGCAGCCGGTCAATGATTCTCTCTCATCATTGATGTTTCTGTCTCTCTCTCCCTCTCCCTTCCTCTCTGAAATCAATAAAAAATAAAATAAAATAAAAACAAGTAATAAAAACTCACCATTTGCCACCATCTCCAAGTTGATTGAAAGAAACTAGGAAAAGGCAATGAATGAGCTCATAAGAATTTTTTAAAAATCTGATTGGTTTACTTTTCATTTAAAATTAGTGATATGTTCCAAATCCACACCAGTACTATTGTACTCATTACTATCAGAGTCACAAATAGGAGATTATTTATTTACATTGATTTTAAGTCCAAAGCAATAACATGAAAGATTAAGAATCTTCCACAAAATGGTTTTTTTTCTGTAAGTATTTCATGAAGTTCAAATAATTCAATACGCACTTGCAAAAGTGAAAATGCCTTTCTCTTTTGTATGTACCTTAGGGGAGGGCAGTGGTCACACTAATTGCAACTGGTTAGGGAAAGTTAGTAATATTTATAGCAGCAGAATCTCAAAGTCAAAAGCCTAAACTCATCCACCAAGGATATGCCGAGAATAGTGCTGTGCCGGAAGCAGGTCCATCATTGCTGCTTGACACAGTCGCTGCAGGGAAGAAAACACCTGCACAGCATATGTTTCAAGGTACCTGGCGTATATGGCATACTGTTCTTAATATGTTTGCTCCCCTTCTTATCACTATGTGTTTTAACTAAGGTCACCTCTCTGAGAAAGATTGTTTCCCCAAATGGGGATTTTTCCCTGGAGTTAGGGATTAACAGGACTAAGGAAGGGAATAAATCAGTAAAACCCCTTAACTAAGTGCCTGGCGGGTAGTTAATCACCTTAACTATGAACAATCACGCTTAAGCTACATAATCTTTACTTAGGATAATCTCCTTCAGTTACTTCCTTGTAGCTTAACAGAACAGTAGAGTA